GTGTTCAATAAATACTTATCAGGAGAATAAGTTAGTGGTGACTGTTACTATTATCAAACTTTACATGAATTACTATAGTTTGAAATTACTGAGTTGTGATTATTTATAATTTTCCTGACTTTAATGGAAAATATGGTCATTTCATCATGGAGTACCACAGTGCACATTGAACATTTTTAAATGCCAAGATTTCTTATTCGTCTCCAAAGCCAAATGCACAGGCACCAGATCATCTCACTAAAGATGCCTGCCACCCTCATTGCCTCAGACCAATTTACTTGCCCTAGATGCTTAGCTCTGTGATGATCCCAGGGAACTCACGGTCTAGAAAATAATTATAAACTATTAACATTAATCAACATTGAAAACCACAAGCATAGAGTATAAAGAAACAGAAGCCAAACTTGTCTAATTGCCAGGCTGCATTTTCCTCCAAAGCACCAGAATATTCCTAAAGATTTTTCTCTAGTACTTATAATAATGATGATAATAATAATACTTCCTTTCTCCTTATATAAATACAAATAATCATAGACAAAGCAAAAACAGTTTTGCTATAACATTTTTTCACAGGACCTCTCTTGGCTTCCCCTTCAGTGCCACAAAAGTTCTTTCTTTCACAGAATTCAATTCCTGTGAAGAGACCATGCAAATAGGTAGGAAGTAGCACATTTCCTAACTTAATTGAAATATACTCATTAAAATGTGTTTTCTCCTTCCATTTTATGAAAAAAATATTATATGTTTCTGAATAGATTATATTACCTCTTTGACAAGAGAATTGGGTTCTTATCTAGGTTGTTATATGATTTCAGATGTTATTTCCCTTTATGGACTTCCATTTTCTTATCAAGAGGATGGATTGAGGATTGAGAATTTTAGCTCAGTGGTTAAGGGCTTGTCTACCATGCAAGAGACTCTGGGTTTGATCCCTGGCACCACAAAAAAAAAAAAAAAAAAAAGAGTGAGTTGGACTAGGCCATCTCTTCTTTCAGGTTCTAGCATTTAGAATCCTGTGCCATCTCTTTTAGATGTGATGCACATATTCTAATGCAACTGACAATTGATATATATATTTATTGAAGAAATGATAAATGCAGTTTAATATTTTGAGAATGGCTACTGGAATCAAACACAGACAAGCACATTGTCAAAAACACTTGGCTTCATTTCACTACTTTTGCTACTAGGATTTGGAAGAATAACTAAAATATAGTGCCAATATTCTTTATGTACTTCTTTTAAATATTAAAAAGAAACTGAAGCAAACATTTTTACTTAGTTTGTAGAGCTGAAAATTACTGATCTCATTTTTGTTCTTTGATAACCTAAATTAATGTTGTCTAAATTAGGGAAAGCAAATTAGTCCATTAGTGAATCTCTTTAAGAACTTAAGATTACCTCGTTTAAATGCAAATATTATTTTTATAAGAGATGTTTTCAACAGAAGCTATTAAAATTATACATTCTTCCTCTTCTTAATTACCCATAATGCCATCAATCTGCAAAGCAGTTTTTACATTGTGTCAGACTAGATTGTATTCTCTAGAATCTTACTCTAAGGGCTTACCGGAGTGCCTGGGTCCATTTGTTCGCCACTGAATATCAACAAACTACTGTAATGAACAACTCAAAAGTAAGCAGAAGACCCTGTCCACTTATACTTCCTTTGCCAGCTGTCGTATTCCATGGTTGCCTATGAATCAAGTGGGCCTTAATCTGTACCTTTATTTTAAGTAAATGGTTTGAGGATGGATATTTCTTTTCAAGTACATGAAACTACAGACTCTGTGTGACATCTGCTTTTCAGTCAGAAGCACTTTCCATTTATTTCCAGACTCATGGCTATGTTCCATGATTTGCGGATAAGTGGAAATTTCCTCTATGATCCTATTAATCTTCAAATAAGATTCTGCATATAAAGGAGCTAAAGATAATATACAACCATATAAAATAATAATAATTACATCTCTAAAAGTACTTTAATACCAAATCCACTAGAAAAATTTACAAATTAAACACCTGAATTTAATTAACAAAATAATAACTGAATATACTTGAATTTTTTCATTATAAGAACACATGAAACATGTGACTATATAACATGGAAGATGTGCCCACATGGATATATTCAATAATCATGAAGGCATTTAAACAATCTGAATATTCTGCCATATTAAATACCAGTACCTGCTATGAAATATTTTAAACCTTTCACATATCACTTGCATTTTAACATAATGTGTAAGTTTCTTCTTATACAAATCTTAATACATTCAATAGAATCATTTCACTTTTGGAATCATCAATTTTTAATTGTTTAAGGCATAAAACAAACGATACAATAAGTTCTTTTTCCATCATTTTAAACAAATATGCTTAACTTTCACCCTTACATCCAGATGCAAGGAGAGAAACTCTCTTCTATCCAAGTACTTCTACACAATGAAGTAACTAGGTTCATTTGAGGCCTATGCAGGTTATCAGTGAAGAGTCTCCTTCAATGAGACAACTGAAGCTTCCTGCTAATCTCAATAAAGAAATCTGTGCAATTGACAACGCTAATGCAATCATTCATCAAGACAGAATTTCAAGAGCAACCGTCTACAATACAAAACTTGCATCATCAAAAACACAAATGAATGAAAAGAGGGTTCAGTACCTAACACTCTTATTTCACAAGAAAGCATATGATAAGAAATTCAAGTTGGTAGAATTTATTAATATTACTGAGAATTTTATATCACTTCCTAAATACATACATATTGCATCTGTTTCTAAAAGCAATTATGGAGGTTGCAGAGGTTTTCATAGCTCCTTAACTTTGATAGCTCTGGAATCTGTTTCATAGAAGACCTTAGAAACTGTAGCTCCTACTTGAGTATTTTAGGCTTTTTATAAAAAATGTTCTATGAAAACCTACATTTTCATGAAAGCTTGGTAGATTACCTTATAGTTAAATCATATGAAGAAGTAGGTTTTAGCTCTCTTAGGTATAATTTAACAAGGTTTTGCTCATAATTATTTTGAGTATGTTACTTTTGAATCAAGCTTTTTTCTTTTTTTTTATTTCACTATAGCCACAATGTGTAATGTTGCTATGCATGAGGGTAGAGATCACATCAGCAAGTAAGAGCTGTAGCTGCTGCTACTAGTAAATAGGAGAAAAATTATAATCCAAGACAATAAGTAACAGTTTATTATAACTCATTCAAACACTATCTTCAACTATATAAGGTTCTACTCTATGATTCATTCTGTTAATTGTTTGGACTCCTTCTTAATATATTTCATTGGCTATATTTAAAAAAATAAGAATCCACTATTAAAAACAAAATTGAGAATTTATGAATTAAAAATCTAAAACTCTTGAGATACCTCTTTATAAAGCAAATCTTGAACTGAGTCTGCAGGCTGGAATACATACACTGGAAATTATCACTGTGTTTAAAACCACTTAACAAGTATCCTTACCTCCAGTCTCTTCCCATTAAATATGTCTTGCCCCAAATCAAAAAGTCATCACTCTAGAAAAAATCAAAGTTCAATTGTTTCGCTTCAAAGCCTTAAAAAGCTTCAAAGCTATGTTCTGTACAAAGAACAAACTTATTAGCTTCATATACAACTATATCCCTTAATATATGATCCAAACTGCTTTCTAAACTGCATCTCCCAGTAAGCTATTCTGTCATCTCTTCAATGTTCCTTTTGCAATAACAACCTCACTAAATCATGGGCCAGTTACTAAAGACATCATAGATATTATCCCTAGGTGACTTTGTTTACATGTTCCTTCTGCCTGAATATTCCTTTTTTTTCTGACTCCTCTTGGTCTCTTCTCTACTGAAGAGCACTTCTCTATGAAATTTCCCAATCCTCACTCTCCAGAGTTTCCTGAAAATTACTTTGTAGTTTATAGTTTCTTGACCAAAGTTGTATTTTAACATGTCTCAGACTGCATTCCTTTTCCCCTCCCGATTTTCCCATACATCTTTACTTTTAATGTTTTAACCTAAGGTAGAAACTATGTCTTATCCTCTGCATGCAATGCCTAGCACACAAAAGAGATTCAATGTTTGCTAATTAAATAGATGAAGGACTACTGTGTGATACATTCTTTTTCTATCAGTGTCTTAGAGTTAGTGCTTCTTATTAAACTAGTATGGATGTGGAGAACTGACCAAGTCAACTAGATTAATGGATTAGGATTTAAGCAGAGACCTCCTTTTTTTCTACTGAATACTATATGTTAGGTTGAAATAAAAAATAATAATTACAGGTATGGCTGAGTGATGCTGGTAAAAGGAGGAAGGTTTCTTTTTGTTTTTGTTTTTCTAAATTTTGATATTAGGCACATGGGACTGACTAGAAAGTCCTTGGCTAAGAAACAGAATTATGGGCTTGTGCAAATAAATCATTTCTGGGATTCATCTGTAAAGCAGAGTTGCCAATGCTTTGATTGTCAAAAGGTTATGGGACCAGACTAGACTGAGGTATTTTTCACTCCTAAGATATATTATCCTATTATCCATCCAGTCATCCATTCATGAATGCTTCATATCTCTTATGACTCCAATATCTGCAATTCTATATTAATAAAAGTTGGACTCAAAGAAAGTGTTAAAGTCCCAAACATTCTGCAAGACTTCATACTTAGTCAAAAGCAATGATATGCAGAACAGCAAGTGAGAAGCTCATGATAATGAAACAAGTTCTCCTGCTGCTATTTGCTTAGGTGTGCTTCTGTGTTTTATGTTTCACTTCCCTGTCTGAATAGTTTCGGAGGATTGGATGTTACACTTAACTTAAAAAGGGCCAAAAGGATGAAAGAATAAATATTTTCTTTAAATGTGGAAAACAGGAACATTAAAATTCTAGAACATTTAAAAGTTATCTATAGTGAAAGTTTGTCAACAGCAGCCACATTCATATGCACTTAGGTATTTGTTCTGTTCAGAAAAAAGTGACCTAAGCAACTTAGAAATATATAGCTTTGACATATCAATGATAACTCCAGAGTCTACCTTTGCTTCTGTTGCATGGGTTGTTGTCTCATAGCCATATACTGCATATCTTCTTGCAGACGATTAAGAGGAGAATCTGGCTTGACACGAATTCCATAGTAATGGTACTTGGAGTTTCCTCTTTATAAAAGAACAACATTGGAAACACAAAGTCAAACCAGTATCAACCACAGGGAATGTCCATTTAATTTCACATTTTGAAAAATCAGGTAAAAGCAGCATACTAATCTTATATATTTTTTATTTATCTTTTCCTGATACCTATTATGTTTTTATAGTGAGAACATCTGAAGAATCAAAATAAGATTCTGAGTCAATCAGTTCAAGACCCTAAGATAAGTATTTTGTTTTCAAATTAATATTTTAAATGTAATTTAATGTGGGAAAACAGTTTTGGCCAACAAAAATTCATTAATAGGATAAAGGACTGTACATTAAATATGAATTTGTAAGTGGCAAATTAAGAACAAAGAAAAATTCTACAGACTTGGACAAGTTCAACATTTTTCTCTTTATCATAGGAATGATGAAATAAGATAAATTTATTATAGGATGTTGTAGTGAAACATATTAGTATTTTTAAACTTAAAACAAGATGATATTTTTTATTTTGAAACACATTTTATTAGTCTCTGTTTTAATGAATTTATATCAGTTTTGTAGGCTGAATAAGATATATCACAACAGACATGGGGAAATTTTTCTGTGAAAATGGCAAATTTCCACCTGGAATAAAAATGTCACAATTTCCCCATGTTCATGAGAAAGACCATGTTTGCTATTAGAAATGACAAGTTTTGCTCTGAATGGAATTTGCAAATTCTTGCAAAAATAACATTTTAAATATGTAAATTCTTGCAAAGAGAAAATAGTTTTTCACAAGTCTATATATAGCAAGACATCAGTGCTCTTTCCAATTTTTTCTTTCATTTAGAAAAAGAAATGCAAGAGGAATGTGGATTAAATAGTTTTTATAAAAATAGAGTAGAATTTTACTTCCAAGATTAACATATATTATATGAACACTATACATTTGAAGACATTAAAATCATATTACATAAATAATATTGTTAATTTAAAAAAAAGTCATTTGAATATATGTACTCTTTCAGCTAAATAAAAATGAAAATTTAATGCCTACAAAGTCTAATCACTTGCAGAAATTAGATCTTGCTCTCCAAAGTCCAAAGACAGAGCTAAAAATACAAACAAGAAATACCACAAACACAATTTGTAGTGTTTTTCATACAAACTGAAGGATAGCAGATAGTATAAGGTAAGGATATAGTATAGGTATGGGTAGAAAGCAAGTAGCATAGGTAGGGGTAAAAGGCATTAATCATGGGGAAAAACTGAAAAGTAAAATGATGTTTCTCTTGAAGTATCTAGTTCTTTTTCAGTTTTCTACATATCATCATTTTGCTTGGGTTGGGAGGGAGTGGAAGTTCTTTTTATTCACTGGAAAGGGTTTGGAGAGTGAAGTATATCCATAGTCAGTTTTGCTCAAATTTGATTTGGAGAAGGGATCTAAAAAACAGTACCTTTTATTCACCTTTATTTAAAAATACAGTGATTTCATTTATTTGTTGTTTACTTAGACCCCCAAACTTGAGAAAAGATGTGGTCTGGTTCTAATAATTTCAACAGATAATACTACTGATACATAACATTCCTGGCATAAAGTTCACTTTTTTTTTCCTTTTTAAAAATATCTGATTTTGGAGCTGGGGTTGTGGCTCAACGGTAGAGCACTCACCTCTCACATGTGAGACCCTGGGTTCGATCCTCATCACCACATAAAAATAAATAAACAAAATAAAGATATTGTGCCCATGTATAACTAAAAAAATTTTTTAAAAAATAGCTGATTTAGTTTGCCTCATGATTTATATTGATTTACTTCTTGGATTAGGAGTAGAAAGTAAATGCCATAGTAGAGTGAATCTTTGGGACTTTACCCTACCACTAATACTGTCAATTTTCCTACATTATAGTTCTCTCTCTTTATAACACCTCATTTGTTTAAGCCCATACTCTTGCATAGTATTTATTTTCTCCTCATTCTTCTAGGCTTTGCATTCTAACTCAATTGCAAACACAGAATACAATTTTAAAAGGAACAGGAGACATAATTGTTGGGGATTGGGGGAACATTAGAAGTAAAAGCTGAAATATTGTAAAATGTACTTAGAGAACATGGATTCTACTCATTCACAAACCCAAACAACCCCAATTTTATCCCTTTCTATTATTAAAGATGTTTCAAGGTTTGAATGGAGCCTCAAAATAGGACCCATTGAAATCCTTTTCAGTAACAAAAGCAGCACAACAATACAGCTATTAGAATGTTGAATAAAGCCCAGAGTTTCAAAATATTGGCACAGTATATGTAACTACTGAGCTATCAATTCAGAAATAGAGGGTTAGGTCCCCAAATAATGATTTTCCTCATTTTGGTTTTAAAAAAATACTAAAGAAACAAAAAGCTTTTTTCAAGGGAATGAAAACTGGTTCCTTTAGTCTGAAGAGATAATCATGTTCTGTAGTTTAAAATATACTACTATTTTGAAGTATAGATAGAAGAAAATATATTTATGCGAGAACTGAACCTCCAGCAATCTAAAAGCCATACTATTACTTAAAAGTTGTGTACAATGAATCAAAGAGCTTTCTGCTGTCATGCATAACTGATTAGAACTAATAAAAAATAATTTAAAAAAAACAACATCATGGAATAATTCAGAATTCAAATGCATACAGACCTATAAATCTTATAAAACTGACAAAGTGCCAGGGTTCAAGACATACTATCCCAAAATATGTACCTTGGCAGGAGAAAACAGCAGAAACAGGCCATAGAAAGTAGAATGAATTCTCCGTGAAGTGGAACATAAAAACTAGATGACCTTCCCATGAAAATAGGTCATAAGACCCGCTTTGGAATTAATATATAATGAAGTTAATTACTAAGGTACTTTTTATTTTACTAAACTCTTTATTTTGGTAAATTCTTTACAAAAAAAAAAAAAAAAAAAAACTCTGAGGTTATTATTTATAAGTAATTAAAGGTACATCACCTAAAGTTATACAGTGTAGCATCTCTATGTTGAATATTTTTATGCAATTTCTGTAAGTTTAAAAAGTCAAAAACACCCAAATCTTTCTGCCTAAATATATAAAATATTTGTTTCCATTATGTAGAAATTATGGAAAGACAAAAACAAACTCCACAGTTCTAAGTATTCTTTTCATCATCTTTGATTAGTAAAAATAGTCATTAATTTTCAGATGAAGGAAAACAGAAACTGAAAAGTGCTTCTTTACATTATTGGCTTCTATACAATTGAACTATACCATGTTCTAACTTCTACACATGATAATTTCATGATTAAGAGCAGAAAACACAAATAAATAAAAGGCAAATAAGAGGTAAAATAGGACCTATGTCATCACAGAGGACTTCAAATGCCTATATTTTGCAAATTTACCAAATGACTTTTAATTGCTCCTAGCTTCATGAAATGAAGTGAAAACCCAGCTTTAATTTTTTCTCTACTCAAATAAGGTTATTATAAAGATAATTAAATATAATTTTGTAAAAATCAGGAGATAGTCTCCTATTTACAATGTCAAACACTAAACCTTCAGTGTTTTAAAAAAAAAATAAGTGACACATATTGATTTTTAAAATATCATGTGCAAGCCTTGCATTAACAGTTAATGTTTTTCTTTTTTTCTTTTGGTACCAGGGATGGAACCCAGGGGCACTTAATCACTGAGCTACATTCTCAGCCCATTTAATTTTTTATTTTGAGATAGGGTCTTGCTAAGTTGCTTAGGGCCTCTCTAAATTGCTGAGGCTGGCTTTGGTGATCCTCCTACCTCACCCTCCTGAGTCAGTTAATTTCTATGTAGGCTGAAAATCAAATGTTCTCAAAGCTTTGCTCACTCAGTGTTTAGGACAGCATATCATTCTGGCTTGGTAGTATTCAGTGACTTTCCTTTTCTTAATCTATATTTTTCCCTTATGTATTCCTGTAATCAAGTACTTTTGCTCAAACAATTCACAAAACTGCTGTGATTTGAAAAGGGGAAGTAAGTTTATGACTTTATTTTTCAGTACTAACCTAGTGCCCAATCTCCTGGTTCGCAGCCCCATAAAAATTGACCTTATTAGTTTTCCAAAAGAGGCAGCATTGACAGGGTCCAGTTTGTGTTCTTGACAGTGTCGAAGGTAGTGGTTATACAGAGTGCTTCTGGGAAGGCTCACTCCTTCTGCTGTCTCATAATTGTCCAACAGCCACTGGAGCTAGTAGAAATAAGACACAGCAAACAGAGAAGTCATACAGTTTGTAAAATTTCTCCAGTCCACTGCAAACACAATATGCAAAAATACTTGAAAGTTCTTCATTAAATCTAAGAGTAAACTGCTAAAATTCAGAGACTGAAGAGATCCGGCTTTAAAAACCTCCAGAAATAGTGTAAATACCTGAACATCATTTTTCATCTTAGACAATATCCTTTTCTTCACAGAGTCAAGCATATATAGAGACATACTAGTTTTCCCTGTATTACTTGTAATTCTGAAGACAAATATTTCTTCAGAAAATTCAAACAATCTAGTTAATCAGTAATAAATAAAATTTCTAATTGTTATAGAAAAAAAACACATTACTAAGTCTGCTAGCATGGTACCTAATGTGTGTTTCATGTTGGTTTGTTATAATACATGAACAGCAAACTGCTTTGTATGAGGTTTTATATCAAGAGTCTATTTATTCACGGACTGGGGATGTGGCTCAAGCGGTAGCGCGCTCGCCTGGCATGCGTGCGGCCCAGGTTCGATCCTCAGCACCACATACAAACAAAGATGTTGTGTCCGCCGAGAACTGAAAAATAAATATTAAAAAATTCTCTCTCTCTCTTTAAAAAAAAAGAGTCTATTCACTTTTAGAGAATTATAATTTACTTATCTCAAGGTACCACTAGATAATAAAATAATAACATTGTATAATGGGATGAATTCTGAAAACAGAAAGGACAAAATTCACTCATTCTTTCCCAAAAGGGAAAGAAACTCATGAGACATTGGCAAAGAACTTACATAAAATGAAAAAAATTGGTTTTATAATTATGAGTATTTCTATCTCAATGTGTTTTTTCATAATTTTAGAAGGCACATGACAATGACATGTAGTAAAGCAATATTTTCAACCTATAGTTCACATTATAAAGTTGCATTATCCTGTATTTTTTGAAAAATACCTTTAAAGTACAGAATTTAGAATATAGAATTTTTAGAAAATTTTATCCAGTAACATTTCAACTTCAGCAAAATTAAATTTTTCATTTGTTTATTTACTTTCTTACAAAAGAAGAAGTAAAATAGACTTAAAGAATTTTTCTTAAAGTCATACATTTTCTTGATGCTTGAGCACGGTTTCAAACTCAAGTTTCCTAAATACACTAGAACAACAGTTTCACAAAAGCAGCAAATATTTCATATTACTTGTCTCAAAAAAATTTCCATGACATATATAAGAGGTAAAATAAACAATTAATATTTAAAATGAAATATCATTTAAATTAAAATTATGGAAATAAAATAATTCATTTTATTTAGCGCCAGTGACAACCCAAACAATGTGGTAGGCATCCACTGATAAAAAGATGAATTTAATCTCACTTCTTCTGTAGAAATTTAGAGTCAAATGTTATAAATGATGAAATGGACATTTAAATAAGTTAAAGCGCTTTATTTCTCCATTTTGCTTACATATTTTAAGATCTGTGGTTAAAATGAGAACTTGAACTTTCAGACTTTTAAGAAAAAATTATTTAAAATATTTTCAGTATTGCTTTTAACCATGAAAATTAATTGAATTTTTCAGAATCATGTTAATTGCAAATATTGCGCTTATGTAATCAAATGTAAGTCATTAAACCCATATTAACTGTTGGCTTAGAAAATGTAGCCACTGAGCTTACAGAGCAGATCACTTTAAAAAATAAAATTTGTATTCTATTCAGAAAGACTTCCAGTTCTCTATGGAACACATATGCATATGAATATGTACACTTAAACATATGTATTAGTTCTGTAATGTATACAACCCTCCAATGTAAAACTCTGAAAAGATTATACAAGATAAATTTTCATGTTTGTATGGACAGAAAAATATTCCAAGTTAAAAAGAATTCTTTTCATATGAATCATCTATAACCATAACATCAACAAATTTTCCAGGGTCATTTAAACATGATTTTTGAGTATTCTAAACAACATATAAAATAGGTTCACTATACATATTCATTTAGTGTAAAAGACAGGAGGTAATCTGATTAGAAGATTAAAGTTATTAAGGCTTGAACCAGAATTCTGTCTATAACAGTGGGCTAGCATGCCTCTTGGGTTTTTGTTTGTTTGTTTTTGTTGTTGTTGTTTTGTTTTTTGTTTTTAAGAGTTTGTTAATTATGAACCCAACTGAGGGAGACTACAAAAAATGAAGTAATACAAACCTGACTCATATATTTCATCCACATGCTTCATTAAAATGATTAGGACTTGAAAGCATGTTGGTCCTAGAGCAGCCCTACTGAACAATATTGCCTAAAAGTGCTCTAATTTTGTATCCATATACTCCATAGAGCAAGGTGACTGCTTTCTGTTAGTACTCTTAACATATTAAAACATGCAAATATTTTTTTTAAAATAGCAATATTTTTTGACTAAACTAACCAAGTTCCCATATCCAAAAGCATGTGATACACAATCTATGTAAGTTAAAAATGTAAAAATGTAATAATGTTGTCAAAGACACAACAGTATGATTAGGAAAGAGTTAAGAAATCAGAATTCTTTTCCTTGCTAATGAACAGATAGATGACAAATATGTAACCAATCTTAGTTTGAGAGTTTTTTTCAGAAACAGAATAGTTAATTTTACAATATGAATATACTTTTTATAACCAAGTTGTAAAATATCTTAGATTTATAAAAATAGATCTAATGCAAATAATTTTAATTTGATATAAAGTAACAAATTATTTTCTTAAATACAAATAAAAATGTTTCAAACTGTCTTAATTGTATACTAGTCTTCTTGTAACATTTAATTACTTAAAAACAAAGACAAATATCTGAATCAGATCTTATTAATTTCTCATAATCATCATCAGAATTATTTTGCAGATAAAAATTTTTATGAAATTGAAAAAAACAAAATGAATACGTGAATAATAAAATATTTGAAGAGTACTTCCATAAACTGCTTTTTTCCTTTTAGTTGTAGATGGACACAATACCTTTATTTTATTTGTTTTTATTTTTATGTGGTGCCGGAAATCGAACCCAGTGCCTCACGCATGCTAGGCAAGCTCTCTACTACTGAGCCACAACACCGGCCCCATAAATTGCTTTCTATAAAAGAAGAAACTAGTGCAAACATTAAAGTTCAATATAGAAAATTTTGAGTTCAATGTTTGGTTTCTCTGTGTGTGTGAATATCTGAGTTAATCAGATCAATATTAATCAAATAAAACTTCTCACAGAGATAGTGAGATAATTATAGCAAAAGTTGGCATAAACTACTTAGAAGCCTAAATTATATTACTCATATCTCAAATGAATGACTCAGAGAAAATGAAGCATTCATTGGATTGGCTATGCAGCATTCTGAAATGTTGAAGCAAGTCAAAATATCTGGGGTATTCTGTAAACTGATTATTCTTACATACCTTATATTCTTAAAAGTTCTTTTCCCAAACCAGTTTTTAAAATCTGAGTTTGATTTATCTATGATAATCTAGACTAGCTGGTATGAAAAGTTTCATGTGAATAGGTATTTTGATGACTATAACTCTAATAGTAGCAAAACTACATTTTTTTTCCTAATCCATTTTTTCAAATGGAAGAATTACATTCCTTGCCAGAAACCTAGAGAGCACTTTGAAGAAGCAGAAAGAGGGCAAGTGGAGATAAACACTCTGCAAGGATAGAGGAGGTTCTTCTGCAGCCCTGTGGGTTCCAGCTAGAAATCCTGCCAACCACTCTTCCAGCTGCTGGGAGAGGAGTAATCTCTTAGAAACTCATTGTGTACACAGAAACTGATTTGGAATTTAACAGATAAGACTTTGAGATATAGTTGGGGATTATAATCTCAATTCTATATACCAGTAATTAACTTTCAGGTTTTGAAAGAGTGATGAAATTAAATAACAAACCTTGAGTATAAAATATAGTATTAGAAAGCATCCCAATAATTGTATATATATAATAATTATCCCAATAATTTTTATTATTGGAGAAACTTAGCAGTCAAGTTTTTGTGTAAATTTAAATTTAACCTGAAGGCATGTGCTCCACATGCTACCCATGGGAAGTTAATGCCTTTTATATGATACATTGTTCCTGTAGTTTTCTCTTTAACACAATGCATTTGGACCTTAGAATTCAGTGCTCTTAAACATTTAGTAATTTAGAACTAAATGGTTACCATTTCTTTTACTCTTTTGTAAAATGACTTGCAAATGCTTACATTTATGATGTTAAAAGCCCATAAAATATGGAAACTTTTAAACTTTATCTTTAAAATCTGATTATTCTACTAATGAACTAAAATATACTTGTTTTAGGGTAGAAACCAAGAAAATGGGATCTTTCAGCCCTTGCATTAATTTATATTGATCAGGGCATCCTAAAGAAGATGAACAGTTCCTACTTATCCTAAAGGGAAATACTGTTTGACAAATAAAAATAAATAAATATTGCATTACCCATTTAACATCTAAATGTAACATTTGGCATTTTATCCTAAATGGATTTTTTATTCCAGATTATCCATTAGGATTTACTTTAAGTTCAATTCAATGATGAAATGCATCAGAAAGGACTTATTTCCATAAAAATTTATATTTATAATACAGCAAAGTCAAGAGATAATAAGTAAAAAACAATGTTTTGCTTTGAACTGAATGTTTTGGTAGCTAAACTCATCAAACTTATGAAATAATTATTTGATAGAATGTGAAAAATATATAAAATAAATGCAGCTTTTAATATGCTTTAAATGAAATTTTTTAAATATATATCTCAGAACATAATGTGAAAGTTAGAAACAATGAATATTTGTGACTTCAAATTTATAATCTATCCTAAATTGGATGCAATATTTCTATTAAATACTAATTTATATTTATTATAAGTTGGAGTATAAAATAAACTTTAGTCTGCAATTTAAAGAGTTATTCTATTTTTATTTAGTCAAATTATATATCCTTTATTGGTAGCACTTTCACATACAAAAAAATAGAAATTAATTAGAAATAAAAATATTTAAATAGATATTGTACAAAGAGAATTCTATAAAGCCAAGTAAAAAGAACCATTCTAAAATATAAGGAGATAAATGATGTCACTATTAACTGCAACATTTTAAAGGTTGGATTATTTAAAGAAAAAAAAAAGTTGTCTACATTTAAACTAAAGACTACGCATAGAAAAATGATAGAGTGACCACATATTTTTCTTTAGTATATCAGAAGAGGCCACCCTCTATCAACACTATCAACAATGCTCACACATATGCTTACTGAAGAACACTTAGAAAACAATGCATATGAGTCTCCAAATAAACATAGGACTAGCAGTCATTCTAGAACACTACAGGTAAGATAAGGTCTGCTCCCTTTTATTAGTTATAGTATTCATTCATTTGGCAAGTATTTAATGAGCATTCATGATGTCTAGTACTGGTCTAGGTGCACAGTCTGTCTTGGTAGACAAAATATACAAAATCCTTAGTCCCTTAGAACTTCCTCTTGCCAACAAACATTTACTGACATTCTATAAAACACCAGTACTGAAATAACTGCCATCATGTTAATATTGTTAGTAGAATAAGTCACTGCACATAGTACAACTGTACTCATCACATTAGTATACAAAATGAATAGGTTATATGTGCGTTTTCATCAATGTGATAATAGTATAATATTAAAAACAGATCAGCAGTATAAACACTCAAGAATATGCTAAAAATGGGATATAAAATTTCATGTCCCACCCATCTCCTAATGTGTGGAAAGAAAGGTGAAAAGCAAAGCAAACTATCAGGATTCACTGAATTTGCTCCTAATAAGAGTCTTCTAATTACTGTGAATAATCAAATGTATAAAGAAAAAAATAGGAAATCCTTTGTACTCCATATCCCAAAATAGAATGAGAAGACTTCTCAGTTCAAGAGTCATGATTCACACTTTTCTTTAGATACTAGTAAATATGGGATACATATTAGTGATAATTTCCTACAAATTTTTTCTTAATAAAATTAATACTTTTTAGAAACTGAGAAATTGAAGACTTCATCATTGTTAAGCTGAACTCATGTCTACCTTAAAGAATCACGCAAACCTCAAATAATTCTATATTATATCCTATTAGTGAAGAATAAAGAACATAGTTTGACATTTAACATATTAACAATATTTTAAAATAATTTTCCAATGAAAAAAAATTTTATTTAAGAGAAAAATCACCAAAAAGTTCACAGAATCTAAAACATTCTTTCCAAGGTTAACTAGAAGGCATGCAGATTACTCCAGCTGTTTGGATAAATCTAATAAAAATCAGGAGCATGTTAACTTTCCAAGGACAAAAAGACAACAGGATCTTTTTCTATGTTCAGGGAGAAACTAACTGCATTGGTTAACAAAAGCACTGATCCTGTTTCTACTGTTAACAAACCATCTGTAGAAATCATTTGTATCTCTAAAGACCTAATGATAAATGTGGTTTTGAATGAACTTCACTATACTTCAGAGGTGTGATACAAATGAATCAGGCTAGCTAGACAAAGATTATCACTACATTAGTGACACTTGTGCCGGTTCCTTTCTAAATATTGAAATGCCTTGGGCAGTTAAAGTATGGAAGATTTGCCATACTATATAATAAAAAAAATATGATGCCATCGATTAATAAATAGTTGTCTACTGTTTATATGGCTTAATTCACACTTATTAACACAAACTATTAGTTCACAGATTCAACAAGATAAAAATAATTTTTGAAAACTACAATATATTTGAAAAGTCTCAAACAAATTAAAAAATAAACAAAAACATATCTTTATACCTATATTATTGTTCATTAAAATACTAATTGAGTTAGGTAATTAAACTTTAGAGTTAAAATTAAGCACATCATATATTTTAATATACTATGTTTCTAATAAAAGTGAAACATCAATTGAATATTAAATAAGCACAACACAACTAGATGTCTAAAAGTTGAAAAAGGAACAACTGGAAACTTCAGGGTTTTTGTTAATTTTTTCTAATGTTCTTGGAACATTTCTTACTCAAAGGAACAGTTTCATTTCACTTGTCATTTTCTAAAGACAAATACCAGTTGGTTATCACCCCTCCCCTCATATGCACAGCCTAAAAGAATATAGTAAATTAGCCTTTAACACAACTACACACTCATGATACTATAGCAGGGATATATTTATAAAATACATAAAAGAGCACAAATTTAGAGAAAGGGGAAAATAATACTTTTTAAACTATTTCAGAAACACCAAAATATATGCTAGAATTTTAAATTTGTAAGTATAATTTTCATCAACATTACAGGCATCTTCCAAGTTGGCTAACTTGTTTTTGTTTGCCAGGAAACTTTCCCTTGAAGAAGAAACAAGACAAAATACCCCATCTAAAAACAAATGTGTTAGAACATAAGGAGGTAGTGTTATTTTGGGAATTTAAAATTTACATGTTTCAAAGTTCAAATACTTAAAAAGCATAACGAAAATATTTTCTGTGAACTAAAGGTTTTAGGTTTATTGAAAAAATATTACTTCATGTAGGTGATCCAGATTTTAAACTTTTCAATCACAGCAACAGAAGAATTAAGAAATCATAATAATTTCATCCCTAAATTTAAGAACACATCATCAATTAGGAAGACAAACTGTAATTCTTACTAAAATGTCACTAACATTAATTTAACAGGTTTATTGAACATAGATTTAAATCATAGTTCTATTCACTTTTTTGATGTATTCAGAAATCACCTTTAACAAAGTAATTTTTTAATCAGCATTTTCAAATGGTTTCCCAACAACTGACGAAAATATTTATCATTTCACAAAATTCTCATCATTCTTCTTAACACTTACCAGTATCATAATGATGCTGAATCTGATAATGGTGAAGATTTTTCAAGAATAGTAATGGTAATTCTGTTTCATTATTATTAGCAGTTTATGTTTATTATTGTCTTTATTATTATTAGCAACTTTATGGCTTACCCAAAACCCTACTTTTTCTTTTGGTCCATTTTCACTTTTCTTTAATTTTTAGGACCTGAGTCTATCTATGCAGCTGTATTCTATCCACCATAGTTAGTCTTACTGGTAAATAAATCATTTTCAAATAGATAACCACTGTATTTGTCATTAATAATTTTTTATCCACTGAAGACTTTATTAGTCACACAAGTAGACTTGGCTGTTTCTATATCTCTGACAGAGATCTAGATTGCAAGTATTTGCTTCATACTAAATAAATATCAAACTAGAAAACTTTAAACATTTAAAAATAAGTATTAATTGATTTTCACAAATAAATGACAGCTTGTTGTTAACTTGAAAGTACTGTATCTGCACCCAAACAGTAGAAAAATCTAGTAACGCTGTCCACCATGGTCTCTACTTTTTTTGAGATATTCCACTGTACAAAATAGCCATTTAATAGTTCAAGGATCATAAAGGGCTGAGAAAGGAAGGTTAAGAAGCAAAATAAGTAAATAAACAAAACAAGCATTTAGAAGCAAGCAACACATGCAGAACAAGCAAGAGATTAGTTTACAAGAAGAAGAGGCAACTTACATGGCTGTTGAGAAGAGAGCTTCTGTGAGTGGACAGACCGTCAGACTTTTGCAGCGTCTCAATCGCCATTTCAATCTGATAATAGATGTCATTAAAAAAAGGGCTCAAGACAAGATAGTAATAAAAGGCTGACCAGAGATTTTTGATAGATTCTTTTAAAGTTTAATCCCTTCTTCAATGGTGGCTAATGAATAGCTATCACTAAATGTGTTTTCCCCTTTTCTTCCCCCCACCCCCAGAGAATAAAATAAAAATAGGCACATTAATAATAAGCCCTATCACAAAAGTAAATCTTTTTGAACACTGTGTAATTATAATCAGTATGGAGACCTGAGGAGTAGGAATCCCGGTGGATTTTTCTAGCTATGAGAAAACATTCTTGACTCAAAGTTCAAGATGTGGGATAGTAACCACTCTCTAAATAGTCTCCCGCCCAAAGAGTATTTAATATTTGTTCTATTCTGTCAAGAAAGAAAAATCATGCAATAGATTCTGAACTTAATATGCATTAGCATTTTAATGCAAATGTACAAAAAAATCCTTACTTGATGTTTGAAAGCTATGAAATCCATATATCCCTCTTTTAGTCTTGTATTAAAATTTGAAAGTAAAGGGTCATACATATGAATGAATATTCATATGTAACTGTGGCCCCTATGTTATATTTTAGGATGTGGTAGTAAGGCAGAAATATTAGAAATGACAGCAGAAATGGAATGTAGAAGAGAAAATAATTCAGAGCCAACAAAGAAAAGGGGCAACTACAGAAAATTTTATTCCATGTAATCTTAGCATATTATGAACAACAATAAAATCTTACTCAATTCGTAATTTTACTAAGTAGCAGTGCCAATAATAAATGTCCCATACTCATGATAACCTCATATTTAATGGTAGCTTATCTTTCAGCTCCTAGTATTATTATTGCACATTCTGTTAATAAACAGTTTTGAAATGCTCTGTGGTTTTTGGGTTATACTAACAATATTAGCATTGCATTTATGTTTTAAAATTGCATTATGCAACTTAAGAGAAAATATATATTATTACTTTTGAAAATCGGATCACATCATCAATTTAGTATAAGCAGTTATAAAAATATTTAATGCTTTAATATATAGTTAACTTTCTGACACTTTACTTTGGCTATGGAAATTAATAATGTCTTAAAATTTTAACATACTGCCCCTCCCAAAGAAAAATGATAGAAGATAACTGTTATCTATAAAAGTCTTTTTTTAAAATTTTTTTACCAAGTTTCCATTTTCTTTATCATACAACACATTATAGATAGAACATTCAGTATCAATTATATCAACATGAAATCTAATTTTCTTATAAACAACTTGGGAATTAATAGCTTTAATTTTATTTTATATTACTTTACCAAGTTGCGAGTTCTTCCCTATACTAAAATGTAATATGGAGCAGAATATTATAAGAATTTATAGAAAATATTCTTAAAATGAATAGTAAATTAATTCATAAAACTATATAAAACAATTTATTCTATTGTTAACTTTTCTTTTTTAGATCACAAAACTATATAGACTGGTTCTAAAACATTCTCTCTGCCAGATAAGAAAATAATATAGTTTATCATTATACTTGAAAAATAAACAGAAGAAAGTGATATTGCATAAGTGAAAAAAGATGCACTTTAGAGCGATGCAACTAAAATGAGTTAATAAGCACTTTGCCAAAATCTTAAACTGTAAAACTAAAGAACTTTGACATGACATCTCTTAGCAGCAATCAATAAGTGCTCTTGCTTTAAAAACATCTGAAAAGATTCATGTGACTAGAAATCACTTCTAAGAAGAACTGAATCAAACTGCAATTTGCTAAAATGCCTACATTTTCTTTAAAGTTTGAGTGTGGAAATTTTGAGATAATATTTCAGTCTAATAAATAAAAATACAATGATCTGTAGCCTGTGACTTATAGGTTTAAACGAAAGGTAAAAATTATCGGAACTATAATAGCTGAACAACACTCAGGAAGATGTACATGCTCTGGGTTTGTAAAGCAGCAAGTTTAAGTTGGATAAACCATTACTTTCTTATCTTAGAAGATCTGAACACATCTTTTTCTTAGAGGTCTGCTTGTATTTTAAAGTTGCTACTGTGATGGTCCCAGATTTCTATTTGATTCCCTGGAAGGTGTGGTTGTTAGGAAATGATCCTCTCATTTCTGGCCAGTTTTCTTTTTTGTCTTATATGTATTTACTCATTTATGTACTTGGGATTAAACCCAGGGCCTTCCACTGGACTATATCCTCAGCACTTCTGGACAGTTTTTAAAGAGTTTTGAGGGAGGCTGTTAAGGAGTATAGAGACATGGGTCAAATTGGATTCCCCAGCAGTGGACTGACTTTCTAGAATGCCTTGGACCTTCAGACTTTTGGTTCTTTTTTGTCCCTTTGAACAATCAGAATATTTTTTCACCTCTACCTGGTAAGAATTTCTGAGAAAGGCACACACACACACACACCAAAAAAAAAAAAAAAAACAAAAAACGTATTTATCATATTCATTTTTTTAAAGTTGAAGAGAAATTTAATCTCATGAAAGGATCATATAGCCTTGACTATTTTTTAAAGGACGAGATCTATTTATAAGTGATTATGTACCTAACATATATAAAATAGTGTACAGGGGACCAGGATTAAAAAAAAAGTCTCATAATGTATAGGATATTATGATGTAGTGAGAGAGATAGGTTAGGTAGTCATATATATGAATAAATGCACAACTATGAAAACAAAGCTATATATAACAAAAATAAAAGTGTAATTTATAAAGGTAAATGAAAATGAAAACAACGTTCTCTAAGTTTTAGTGGGGAAGGGGGCTTTTGGCCTCCTTCTGAGAAAGTGTTAAAAAAATATGTAACTTCTCCTTTAAAAAAATGTATTTAAGAACACCTACAAAATTTACCGTCATTTTCTCAATGATTATAGACTCTACGAAGTCAGTACTCATACATAAAAAGATGGAGGTATTCTAGTTGAAAAGAGTGGGGCAAAGGGTTTTCTAGGGAGAAGAATAGGCTTAGTAAAGTCAAGAGGCAAGAAAGCCCAGGACATGTATTTGAGAAATGACAAGGAACCTAGTTTTTAGGGTATGTCTCCCTCTCACACAGAGTAATGGTGCAAGTGAGACTGAAGAAAGAGTTTGGAATTAGCTACTGATACATAGCAGTCAGAGAAAAAGCAATGTCATTAAGGCTTTGAGGGAAGTCTGTGAATATTTGAGAAATGTTGGTTTTCAGATGAAGCCATAAAATGGGTTTTGCTAGGTAAAATGGATTGTGCTGCTAGTAAGGGGTGAAATGTGTCCTATTTGTGTTTATGAACTAAAAAGAAGTTTTAAGGGACAAAAGCATGAGAAGAGATTATCCCCCATAGGAATACATTATGACAGTAGAGGGAAAGTAAGGGTGAGAGGTTAGAGAAATAATGTAAAAACAGGGAAGAAAAGTAATGCTGAGGCAACTTTTTTATATTGTTAGCTTATGGGGAATTAAACAGCTCTCTTACCACAAATGGATTATGGATGTTATTCCTACCAATTATCCCATATTTTTTTTTTTGTCACAGATTCATCGGGTAAGATCTCTTTATGGGTAGGAGTTAGAGGAAAAGAGGGATGGAGTACAAATTAACTAAACAAGCTATGTTAGT